AGGAGGGCAAGGAGCAAAAAGTGTCCTTTATGTCCCTTTGACCAAATTATTGTAGGCCTCAAAGTATGTCTGTTAAACACCCAAGAAGGTTAGTTCCACCAGTCTGGTATTTTTAATTACTGTGTGTCATGTAGATAAATCTTGGGCAAAGACCAGTTGTTCTCAGATAAACCTTACCTAGACATATATTTCTTGATCTGCTATATATAATTTGTCAGTAGGTTGTAGGAGTAATATAGTTCCCTCTGGTTTTCAAAACTAGCTAGGCATTGTTCATCTCTAACATTGTCTCACCCCTCCAATTAGATAAACATCATGAAACTGAGAACTGAAGTTCAATAGATGAGAATTTTAAAACACTTTCAAAGAATTCCTTCTGTGTCTTAGAGGAACAAAATTACCTCATTAGGAATTCGTAAATGGTTTCAGGTCCCAGCACCTCTCTAGGTTTGGAAATTGCTGGCACTATTGTAGTTTGATGTGCATTTTGAAGGTCTTTCCTTGACACTGTTAAGATAGTGCAAAAAACACACATTTAAACTTGCTCTTTGTGGAGTGTATAACTGTTAGTTTCTCCACCACCGCAGTAAGAATGCCAAAGAGTTTTCTTTGTGTAGCCTAGTTCTAAGTAAGCCCTCCCCTACTCTCAAGTTCCTGCACATGGAAAATGTAGAAGTATGGTCTCAAGCCATTGACATTTGCCATTCACTGAGTAATATAGACTTGGAACTATGCAGTATGTATCCTTTTGAGACTGACTTCTTTGACTAGCCTAATACTATTGAGATTCATGCAAGTGGCTCCATTTATCTGCACTTCATTCCTTCCTGTTGCTGAGAATGTGTCACAATTTGTTTAGCCATTGCATGTTGGAGAACATTTGGATCATCATTTGATTTAAACTTGTCCTATTCTTTTTAGTATTAGGAATATCTGGGACAGTTTCTTAAATTTGATATATTTTTTTTAATCCTCATTTGTCGCTTTACTAAAACCAAGATTAGTTTTTTTTTTTTTTGGTCTTTTTGAGACAGGGTCTCCATGTAGCCTGCCTCTGCCTCCTGAGTTCTGGGATTAAAGGCGTGTGCCACCCCACCTGGCAAGATTAGTATTTTTACCACTTAGAAGTATATTAAAAAAATTCCTAATATCTTAGTTTTATTAGACATATGTATCATAACCTTAATAAAAATACCTAGATATAAAAGAATTTAAGAAATATAAAAGTGACAGATGCAAATGTTGTTGGAGTTTTGAGTTTAGTTAATCAGGGTTAAATTGGTATTTGTCTGTGTAGTTCAAATGTATATGACCTAGCTTTTCTGAAGTCTACTAGGTTGTGTTTTCAGTTGAAGTGCATACAAGTCCAAGTTGAGAAATACAAAGAAAGAGTTCATCTGCTCAAGTGTTGCAACACAGGAGGTGGTTGGAAGTCCCTTCAACCAAAGGGAACCTTCATTGAAATGTCTTTTTAAAAAATGAACTCCTGTTATACTATAACCTAAAAGGAATTTGGGCTACTTTTAAAATTTTAATTTACATGTGCATTTACTTATAAGCCACTTTTGTATCATATAAACAATATAAAGTAGAAGCTCATAAACAATACATATGTATATACACACATACATAAAGATTTTTTACGTTTATCATCTCATATGTATCACAGCCTTAGTATGTATTTTAGGGGCTGGGTTATTAAATTATTATTGAGTCATTTTCTTACCAGTCAGTACTTATGCCAAAACATAAGCAGACATGAGAAAGTATTTTGGTAGTACAGATTCAAATCCCAACCCTACCTGAGGAACTATTGGCAACTGATGGCACCTGGGATGGGGAGAGTCAGTCGCTGTTAAGGGTGTGACTCTTTGTAGATTAACCAACTCCAATGGGTGGATGCACACTGAAAGGCATTTGGGGACACAAATTAGATTCTAAGGTGAATAACACACACACACACACACACAATAGAGTACATGAAATTGGTCAGGGGGTAGTAAGTGGAGGGGTCCATGCAGATAGGGAAGGGGATCTAACTATGTTTAAAATAGATTGTATGAAATTCAAAACAATTCTATTAAAAAGCAGAAAGTTGTTTGATAATCAAGGGTAACATAAAACAAGAAAAAAAATGAAAGGACATAAAAATACTTTATGTTGATTCACTATCACTAATGGGCACTTAAAATCATTTTATTAGATTGTTATGAATTTCTTTCCCAGAATTGTTCTTAATATACAATTAATGAATATGAAATTTTTGTTTTTAGTTATTTATTTTTATTTTATGTGTATGAATGTTTTGCCTATATTACGTAAGTACATCCATGTTGTGCAATGCATGGCTGTTATCTGCCACATGGGTGCTGGGAGCCGAACTCTGGTCTTCTGCAAGAGCAACCAGTGACCTTCAGTGCTGAGCCATAAGATATGATTAATCCTAAGCGACCCCACCCAATATTTGTAAATAAATGCTCTGTTCCATTAGGACTTTTTCAATATTTCTTTGATCTCTCTTAGAGATAGGTACTTAGACTATGTACTACCAAAATATGATATTGCTAGTCAGTAGTTCACAAAGTAGAAGAAAGCTCTTTCTGCATTTTGAATAGTTTTCAAGTATCTTCAGTGTGTTTAGTGATGTGCTTTTGTTAATTCTTGTGCTTGCATTTACAGCAACTATTCCCGAAAAAGTTTCCTTTCTCTGAATTTGTGCCAAAAGTTTACAACCAGATTAAAGAGTTTATTTATGCCTGCCTGAAGTTTTCAGAAGATCTTCACCTGAGGTATAATAGACAACACTGGAGACAAATCCAGTGTTAAGATTGTTGCTCTCTCTAAATATATATTCTGAAATATTTTTGCTATTCCCTTCATCTCTGACTTTGAAAGCCTTTGGTATCAGTCCTTCACTGTGTGACTGCTTTTTATTGTCATGGTGAAATATAAAAATATTTGAATAATGTTAAAAAGCATATATTGCA